TGGCCGTCTGCATCCGGAGCCCTAACGCTCTCTGTCAGCTTGCTGTCCCTGCGGTCACAGTGGAGATTCATCTTTCTGCTGATGTCCCGTCTGTGTGGCAGAGAGTTGCCAGCCCTCGCGTTCTTAAAGGCCTGCCTTGGCCTGGAGGCACAGCAGACAGGTAAATCTAAGTGCGTCAAAGCAACGCTGATGTGTTGGTTAATGACAGAAAGGGCCAAATTAACAAATGATTGCCTTCTGGATCTGATTACAGTGCTAATCCATCAACAAAATCCATGAATACCCACACATCATTACAGAAAGTAAAACAATTCAATCTTTTAGGTTTCCTTTTTTCCCCTCTTTTTTGTTTTTCTAATTAATACACCACGTCTTGGGCACACTCGAGGTAATTAACATTGTTTTTTGTGAGCAACACACAGCAGATGGTGATTGAAAATAGAGGGATGAGTCGCTCAATCAACCACCATTTGTCTGTAGCCATTAATTATCTCGCGAAGAATACATTCAGTCCCAAAGTTGATAGTTTGGGGGAGAAGAAGAATACTGTCCTTCTGTTCCTCATTACTCTTTAACAGCGAAAACTGCTGAAACTGGAATGCTGGATAGGGAGATTGTGATTTTAATAGCGCTGTCATTATCGTCTCCCATTGGTAGCATATGAAAGAAGGCTGGTGTGAAAAAAATGGTGCAAACAAAAACAAGTTTCAGTAATTGAAAGCCAAGGAACATCATTCACTTTGCTCAGATTCATCAAAGGCCACTTTCAAAATGAAAGGACAAAATGTTTGGCTGTAATTACGATGCTGGGTCCAGAAACCACTACAGGAAATGTTTTTTATCCTGATGAGCCTGTTCACATGACTACAGTGAAAGACCACCACAGGCCATGTGACCTAACCATCACAAACGCTATCGGAGCAGAATAACGGGCCTCCTGCCCTGAAGATATTGTCATGGTATCATGATGTGTCTAAAGGAAGCTTCTCCCTCGAATTCCTTTAAATCACAAAGATTTGGCTTTACTTGGGACTGCTTCCTACTCAGCAAGAGATTATCTTTACCCGCTAAGCTTGTATGAAATCCTAAATCTATACAGAGAGACACTGCGCAAGACGGACACACAGAACCACAAAATAAGTTTGGGGGTCTGAGAAAAGAAAAACCTTCAAGGGACACTGAAGGCACTGGAAGAACTGAACGACAGCATCAGATCCTGGCTTCAGTTCTCCAGGTTTCTTCTGGACTTTGCCCGGAGGACCTTACCCTCTCTTCCACTGTAAGCTTGTAGATATTTTCTGCCAACCTTTTAGCCAGACATAATCAGTGTCACCTAAACTTAATTATTGTGATGGAAACCATGATTAATGGGAATTTGGTGTCAGTTGTCTTTTTTTAGTGAGGATAAATTTGCACTTTTGGTACAGCCTGAGGAAGGCTGAAAACAAGGAACAAGTTCGTTAAAGTAAATTACCAACAGGATTGCTCATGTTCCACCCCACAGGCCTTAATTAATTAGTTAGGTAGTTTATAACCAGTAAGGCAGGGTATTTTCTCATACCCTGCCTCACTTACAGCATCCCGAAAGAAGCAAGACCAGTTGGGAAAGTTGCAGTCAAAGTAGGAGATTCTCATGAAAAAGCTTGGCCGCCAAAACAGAAAATGCGCATACTTTTATTGACAGGCTCTTTGACACAAACAGTGCCTAGCAAGAATCGTTAGACTTCCAAGAGTGTCCAACAAGGCAGCTCCAGCTACTGTCGATGCCAAATGAAATGCAGAGCTGCACAACCCAGCAGCAACATCTCAGTGTTGTCCCACAGAGAGCCCAGCCCCATCAAACCCTATTATCTCCAAGGCTACTACTTACTTCCAACTGGAGAAGAGATAGTTGCTTATCTACTGGTTAATAATAAGAAAAGACACACAACAGATAAAAAAAAGCCATCCTATCATGATGGAAAGAGAGAGGTGTGGAAAAAAGGCCGACAGGGGAGCGGAGAGATTTCCAGGGACAGTTTCATTCTGTGGAAAGGGCAAGCAGAGGGAGACCTCCCGCTGTAATACGGCAGCCCAGCTGAAATGAAAGCCAGCCGCTCTCTTCTCCGGGGCTAAACAGCAGCCTTAATAAAAAACACAATCAGACCCCCAACCTTAAAGTTTAATGCACATTCTTCCCATATTTCGCTTTCCACCTGTAGAAAAAAGAAGACTTTGTGGAAGCTCCTAGTGTGATCCCAGCTCTTAGGCTATAATGTGTGGTATAAAAAAGGGGGGGTTGTTATAGGTATAATGAAGCCCATTGAATATCAAGTACACCATCAAGTCGCTGTAGCTCTCCATCGTGTTAATGAAATTGTTCCCCCCAACTTTTTTAATTAAGTTACATAGTCCCCGTGTGGAGTCAAGCTATGGACACAGACAAAGACTACAGTGTTCTCTCACAGGTGATGTGAATTTCAAAGAGGGTAGAGACTCTGAATCAGAGCGAGTTTCTTTATCAGGAGAGAAAACTTAAGTGAGACAGATGTGCTGAGGTTGTATGTCATTTTCCTTGTCACTCAGCTCTCATTCAGCTCTTTGAAATATAGTGAGGCAGGATGAAGGGATGGTAATTCTATTCCACATTCACTTGTTTTCATAAGTTTTAAATCTCCTGTTTTAAAAACTTCAAGGGTGTCTCCTCGATAGTAATCAGAGAACACAAATCATAATCATTCCTTAGGACTGAGTGAAAGTGGTACAACAATGCTTAATGAAGGGACATTTATCATTCCAAGGAAAGGAAGATAACAGAGAGGATAGACAGAGTTTTCTCTCAAACACATTTCCCTTTATTGGCATGGTGAGGCTGATGAGAATTGCACATAAAAAATAAAATTCACAAGAAAGTAGTACAATAGGTAGAACCACAAAGGCATTGGTAAGGACTTGGCAGAAGGCAACGTGGATAGGACACAAACAGGTAACAACCCAGAGCGACCCCCCCTCACCAAACACACACACGCGCAAACACACATACACACACACACACACACACACACAAACATTTGCCAATAAACATTTTGTCCTTCCAAAAGAAACATGATTACCCGACAAACGTTTAAGCAGTGGCAAAGTACTCAATGGATCATATTATTAAAAAGCCCGCCACAGTTGAAAATTGAACCATGAGGTGTTATAATATATTTCTACTCTAGGCAATTTACAAAGCATTTTTATTACAATGATTAAAGCCACATCTATCAAATGGGACACGACACCATTACCCAAACGCTATACAGAAAGCAAACAAAGGAAAACAAAGTCTTGAACGCACAGGAAAAGTTTTTTAATCTCTCCATCAACCCTAACTTTGACCACTTTTCGCCTCTTTGTATCACAAAAATGAGCTGTTTCTTGTCTTACACAGTCAAACTCCATGAAAGGAAGCCTGTGATCAGCAAGGATTTTACACAACAGATTTCTCCTTCCTGTGCTGGAAGCTGGTTCTCTCATTACTTGGCTTGTGCTAGAAACGGGATATTAATTGAACCAGAAACCACAAGGTTACCTTTTATGTCACGTTGACGGCGCTGTGATATCTGGACTGTGAGTGGGGGGAGGAAGCAGGTGGAAGAACAGGGAGGAGGGGCAATGGAACAGGGTGCAGCATGCGATACATTGTTGAGTACTTTTCGTTAGGCTTATAGAATTCCAGTTTAGGCAGCTGAGAGGCAGATATCCAGAGTGGTGCAAGCTGCACTAACTGACATCCTTTAATAGCCATGCACTACACAACAGTTTCAACTTGACAAATTTTTACATACAGGGATGAGTTAAGAGCCAGTCACATTTGCACAGATATAATGTGGGCGATACAATCACATAGACTCAACTACATCTTAAAGGGTAGAGCAGGTGGAGGCGGGGGCATACGTGTGTTTTCTGTGAAGGGAAATGTGATGACATGCCAACTGGAGGAATCCTAACTTCCAGCGGGTGGGTAATGGGTCAAGTCCAAAATTCACACAACAATAGAAGCTAAAATACAACTCTGAAAAATAATTTATTGCTTTTTATATATTTTTTCTTTCATTTATATTATTATTGTCATAATTAATCATCATTAGTGGTGTGTATATATATATATATATCCGTGTGTCTGTGTGTGTGTGTGTGTGTGTGAATGTGTGCGTATATGTATATATATATATATATATATATATATATATATATATATATATATATAATATTTGTACATCAAATACAAGATCTTTAAAAAATTCAGGAAAAGGAAATTGTAAACTTTTGTTTGGCATTCACATAATCAAGCATGAGTGGAGTGATGACATTGTGCCATGTGTACACAACGGTGCAACAAAATTCCTGCAAAATCATTTTATTGCTTCATGTTCTGTGTTTGTATGAAAAACCCAGATATGTGCTGTCGATATGACCGATCATGGAGACAAAAACAGATGAGGGCCTGACTGTTGGACTGATTAGCTGAATGTTCTGATTGTTTCGGAAGGCATAGAAGGTAATATTATCCCAACAAACCATTTATTGTACACCCTGTCAAGTGATTTCAAGTTGAATAACAAAAATCAAAAGACCTAACATAAATAGCTTTAAAATTTCATGAGGTACGCCAGTAAAATGGAGTCCATAAATATTTTTGATTAAAAATAAATAGATAAATATGCTTGAATTTTTCAAAATGATTTAAAAGCAGTTTTCTGTAATCAATCAAATAAAAAGCATGAAAGCAAATAAATCAAAGTCTTGTGTGTATATATATATGTATATATATATATATATACACACACATATATATATATATATATATATATATATATATATATAT